GAAAATTTTTGTTCGTTTTGTTCGTCTTTGATGGCTTCGCAGGCTCTGCCGCACAGCCCAAGTGACGATTAAAGCTTGCAGTTTCAGTTTCTCATCAGAAGAAAGAAGTCATTCGATCACACGATAGTCGGAGTTAGCTTTGATAATGTGTCGGCAACGCAACTTCTCAAGTTTCATTTTCTCAAAATTCTAATCCAGAAAGCAAGCAACCGAGATTGAGTCATAATCTCTTCTTTAAAGAGAATCAAGATCCAGTCTAAGGTCAACACAAGAGAGCAAGTCAAGAATCAAGATTTGACTCCAGAAGACACGTAGATAGGAATTTTGTACTCTTAGTTTGCAGACATATGTAGTGCTCTTCTCTTTTTCTTTTGATGTAAGAAGCAGTAACGGTAAGAGTAACAGCAACAGCAGCAGCAGCAGCAGTCTTAACTCCAGTGTCTGGTAGTCCCAGCTACCAAATTTTTCCAGAACTACACTGACCTGATTCCTTTACAGCCAAGGATATGTAGGCAAACTCAGAAGCAAGGTTCGGTCACTATTTTTCAAAATTTGCTTCCCTTGGAGTGATATGTGAGAAAAAATTAGCTATGGCATTCACTTGTCTTTGCACGAAAACTCTTCATGTTCTCGAGCAAAGAGGGGCAGCTGTAAATGCTTAATTTTTGCCATGTCTTTTTATTCTATATATATACATATATATATATATATATGTATATATATATGTATATATATATGTATATATATATATATATATATATATATATTTATTTATTTGTGTGTATGTAGGTTTTGAGAGTTTTATTATGATTTAATTAAGAGAGGAACAAAACTTTGGGCTAGTGATATTTTAAAGTGAAATGGGCTAAAAAATCGGACCAAATCATTGGCCCAATTGCACCGACCCAGACTAATTGATGGCTTGCCAAGACCCGGATCAAAATGATGTAGTTTCATAATAAAACTACGTCATTTCACTAAATGAAACAAGATCAAATCTTACCCCTCCATTCCATCTTGATCCAATGGATCTCATTCACTCTTGGCCTAGGTATTTAAAGCCTCCAAAATCTAAAAAAAATCCCCATTTCCACCCATAATTCTTTTCTCTTTTTCTCTCTTATCACTCTCTCCCCCCTCTCTGCCACGCCGCCCCACCGCCGCCCGTCGCCGCCGGCGGCAACCCTCCAATCCACCCCAAAATTTCACCATCTCTTCCCCTCTTCCTCCTCTTTCTACCTATACCACTCATATCCTCCAAATCTCCACCAATCTCCGTAGATCTAAACCTAACCGAAACCCTAGCCGCCGCCCACCACCCCAAACTCCAAAAATTTTACACCACCAGCCTCCTCTTCTCCCCCTCTTTCCATATCTCCGACTCAAAACATCAAAAAAAAAACCACGCCGCCCTAGCGCCGCCGCCACTGCCCTAGCGCCGCCGCCACTACCGCCTACTGCCGCCCGTTTCTTTTCTCTAACCGGCCTCGAGCAAGGTTGTGTCGTTGATATTATTGAAACCGGACTCGGATTCACCGGAATTTTTTGGTTTCAAGAATATCAACAATAGAAGCTTGCTCGAAAGTCGTACCACTGCCTATCGTCGTCTCCCGGATGCTCGAGTATATGGTAAAATCGCAATCCCCGCCCCGTTATTAATTTTCTGATTTTTCTTTTTTTTTGGGTTTTTAGTTTAGAGTTAGTTTCTGTCTTGTTTCTTTATTTTAATCCATTTCTGATTATGTTTTTCTTTGTTAAATCGCTTCAGCGATATCGTGCGTTCCATTTGGCTTTAATAGTTAATTTTTGTTTGCTCATGTTGGTTCATAATACATGTGTTGAAATTTAATTACATGTTTTAATACTTGGTTTAATTTGAATCAATAGGTTGATATTGGTGTTGTTAAAATCTGAAATTTAGATATTTTGTAGGGTACTAGTAGCTTGCTTTTAGTAGGGTGGCTGAAGTGACCCTTTGGCTCCTGCCATAGCAGATTTCAGGCTGTCCTTTCACCTTTTGGACAGCCTTTAGCACACAAATTTAGCCTCTTTTGGACAGATTTTTGTTGAACCAAAATTTGTCCAAAAAGTTGGCTTTTCTTTGCCTATTTAAGGGCTGCCCTTTCTTCATTATAAGGGACTCGATCACACTTCCATAGACATTTTTTAGAATTGCTTAAACACACAAAAACATAAAAAATTTCAGCAGTTGAACACATTAAAAGTAAGCTGAAATGGTGAGTTTTAGGAGTGAATCTTAGAGTGCAAACTTTTAGAAAAGTATAAGTCCTCTTTAGAGTTCGTTTCTGGGTTTCTTCTCGAAGTTTTCGGGCTGTTTTAACATGGATTTGCTGCTGGTTTTCTGCTGTTTTGCTGCTGTTTTTATGCTGCTTTAGTTGCTGAGCTTCCATTCTTCGTTGTTGTATTTATTATTTTGCGACTCAGGTAACTCTTTAATCTTATGTTGCAGATATTTTCACATTAACAAGAAGATTGGAACTCATCTAGATTGTTGGGAGCATATCCATTTAAATAAATGAGTGCTTAGCTAAATTTCTTTATTGTTTAAATATATCTTGTTGTAGTTCATATGTAAAAAATAAATCCTTGGTTGATCAAACACTCTTTATTCATGTGTTATTTGTCTTTACTATTTATTATAGTTTTGATGCATATAAAATGAGATGTTTCAAGTAGGTTGCAATGTGCTTAAAGACTCCTTTTGCACCTTTGCAATTCTGGCCAGTTTATGATAGGCTATTCTTTAAAGAAAAATAACAAAAGAGCCATGCTTGAAACCTTTATTTATTGTGATAAAATTTAGATTTTACATGTGACCATCTCTGCTAGGATTTTAGATTTTTTTTGGTAGAAAGTGGCTAGATCTTAAATAGGTGTTTGAAATTGCTAGTTAAAAATAAGGGTTAATGGCCTAGAACAAAAGAGGCCAGACTCGCAATTTACCCCAGGTGGGCTATCTTAGTAAACCAGCATTTGAAATTCATTGGGCTTTCAGCTTATGCCCATTTTCGGAGCTCAATAATGGGCCAAGGCATATTCTGTCCAATAGGCCCAATGCCTTTAAGAAGTCTATAAACATTTTGTCCATTTATTTTATAGATGTTGGCTCAATACCATAACTAAATAAGCAAATTGGCCCACTTTCTCAATAAATAAATAGCTGGCCCATCTTCTAAAATCCATAAGCTGGCCCATTTCTCCTTTTAACAAGAAGTTGGCATATTTCTTTAAAAAAGATTGAGTTGGTCCAACATTTATTTGCACAATTTTTCCAACCATAAGGCTAGAAGATAATAATAGAAATCAGATTTCTGTTATTAATTAATTAACACATTTTCTTTTTTATTAGTTGAATTGCTAGGCAATCAGTAGGCACGCTTAAATCTTTTCATTCACGGATTCGCTTGCGTGGCGTGATATTTAACATTCAATAATTTAATTCACTAATCTCTTACTATATCTATAGTTTTAGTTAAATTTCTAATCCTTTCACCATACTCGCGGATTCGCTCGCGTAGCGCGATAGTAACTTTTTAATAGCGATAGTAACCTTTTAATAAATAATTTTCTCAAAAGCACAAATACAGTAATTTTTTCTGAAAATACTAGCGTGCTAATAATCCTTTGTCATAACTGCGGATTCGCTTGCGTAGCGCTGTTACGACAAAATTAATAAAATTCGTTTTGGTCGCATATTCGCTTTCGTAGCGCGGTTAGGACAATTTTATACTATTTATATCATACTTTTTTTAACAACTTTAATAATTAAAAGCGGATAGGTAAAACATGAAAATACATATAAATCACAGTTTGTCCAAAATTAGCTCAAGCCAAGTTTTAAGTCAATAAAGCGACCGTGCTAGAACCACGGGACTCGGGGAATGCCTAATACCTTCTCCCCGGTCAACAGAATTCCTTGCCCGAACTTTGTTTTCGCGGACCGATAAAAATAGAGTCAAACTTTTCTTTGACTAGGGATTCAAATAAAAGGTGACTTGGAACACCGAAAACCAATTCCAAGTGGCGACTCTATAAATAAAATATTTCCTACTCAAATTTGTCACTTCAATTGGAAAAACCCTTTAACCCATCATAATATCCATACACATACATATTTTTCGGGGAGTAGAAAAGGGGTATGACAAAGATTATAATAGACCCGAGCTTATTTGGGACTGAGGCACTGTTATTATAGATATTCATGTGATATTAAAATAATTTTTTTGCCGACTAAGAGTAAACACATGATCTACCCCAGTAGAATTTAACTCAAAGCTCACTAAAATTAGTGAGCAAAAATTCAGATTACAATTCTTGTAACCTAAGTTAAAATTCAGCAATATATAACTTAAATCTTTTGGCTTTTAAGTGACAAAAATACATGGAGAGTTTTGTTTTCTCCGTCACTAAACTGGACTAACTTGTTTACCATATTAGAAACACATTTGGTATTGCATTAATTTAATATGGATACTTACCCAAAAAAAATGGATCCCATGGAATATCTCCTCAAAAATATATTTTACTCATTATAAATTAGGAATAGTAGCTAAAGCAAGTATATAATAACAAATATAAAAGACAGATGAATTACGAGAAATGGAAACCCTTATTCATTTTCTTTTATTTTTCTATGCAGAAGAACTTGTTCAACTTTTTCAAATAAGAATGTAGTTGTAGATGTCAATTGACGTAATCTTGACGTGAAATTATATGTTGTGAATTAATATATAGTTCTAGTCTTAATTAATAAAAAGGCAGCTATCTTCTTGTTCCCAACCTTATTTATTACTCACATTTTCCTTTTTATTTTTATCCCAAAAAATGTTACTTCTTTATAATTTGAAATAATTTAATTTTAAAATTTCAGTTTTAGTCTTAATGAAATGTTCCGCCACACAAATTTCAAAGGCTTGTTTTAGTTCACATGAGTTTTAGAAGTCTTCATTTCTTTTTTAAACTTCGTGCCTAGTCAAACGATGCCACATAGATTGGGACAGAGGGAGCAGAAGCTTCCGACATGTGATCCTGTTTCCTTTTAATTAATCTGTTATAAAAATAAAAAAAAATCCGATTAAGGTAGGGATAAAGTCTGCGTACATTCTACCCTCCCCAGACCCCACTTATGAGATTACACGGGGTTTGTTGTCGTTATAAAAAAATGACCTCTTTTTAAATTTAAATATAAATTTTCTGATTTTATCATCAATGATAATTATTTATAGTCACACAAAATATTATGGCATATTTAAGACCATAAATTTTAAAATATATTTTTTTCCAAATTTCGTATCAATTAAATAGGATCACATAAATTAAAATAGAGTGAGTATGAGATTATGAACAAGTACTCCTTTTATGTCACATTGATCTTTCTCCATTTCTAAAAAATTTATTTAACTCAAAAATCACTTTTCATATTCCAGACTTCAAGTAATTTTTTAGTGCATCACGTACATATTTTTATATTGCATAGTAATTAAGATCATATTGCTAAAGTGCGTACGCTGATTGTATGACTTATATATTATCAGGGCGGACGTATCCTTTCGGCTACAGGTTAATCTGAACGGCTGAACCCATAGCTTTCACTATAAAATAAAATTTCAACAAATATTAGATTTGTACCTATAATTTTAACAGAATAATTAATTCTGTGCAAAGTTACACACTTACACCCATTAAATTTTAATGTTGGATCCGACTCTGCTTATTGTCACCTTATTCTGAGCATGTATATTTAACTTTTGTTCTCACATTTTGCATTATTTGAGTGTGTCATCTACTCATGAGAATCTCTCTTTCAAAAGTCGGCAGCATCAGAAGTATAATTTCTTTTGATTTTAGAGATTTGTCTCCACTCATTAAGTAGGAATTAAATATTTCATTGTGTTTGTCTCTATATAAATAGTACTAACATTCACGCCAAACTTCCTTACCAATTCTTTCCACCCTTAACATTCTATTTGCATGCAATAAGATCAGAATATCTGAACAGCTATGGTACTTTGACAATATTTCATCCATTACACAATTTATTCTTATATGTATTTTGGTTCTCATGTGTCACTATTTATAGTGTCATATTCTTAGATATCTGTTGTTGCACGTATCTTCATTTCTTCTTATGTCTACTTATTTGGTTGTTGCTACTGTCGGTTTATTGCTTCATTTTCACTTCTTTTGAGCCGAGGTTCTTTCGGAAACAACCTCTCTACCTTCATTAGGTAGGGGTAAGGTGTGCGTACACTTCACCCTTCCCAGCCCCACGTGTGGGATTTCACTGGGCTTGTTGTTGTTATACACTTTTGTTCTAAGTTTATTTTTTTAATCCTTTTTTTTATTTTTAATTACTTGTTTACAGGATAAAACTCAACTTCTTGAAGGAAAGGTGGATTGGAGAGGAAGAATAGCTACTAAGGATAAACATGGAGGACAAGGTCCTTCCTCACTCATTTTAGGTAAAGGATTGACTCGGCGCTTAATATGGTGTGATATTACCTGCTCTGTACTGAATTTAGACGGTTTTCTCAAAAGACTTCACATAATATTTAAGAATATTCTTACACTTTAGATGTACCTTTTTTTTAATTAACTTATAATGCTGAACTTCGCATATTCATTAATCAATGCTCGAACTAGGTAGTGCCACATGGCCGGCACATCATGAATATTTATGGGCTTATCTAGGGATTCCAACCCACATCATCTTTCTTAGCTCTTTCTGGGTCGCAAATTAAGAGCTTTTCCCTCATCTTCATATTAATTTGTCCTGTCAAACCATCAGCTATTATACCCCTTTTGGGTTAAGTCAGTTTAAAAATATTTTTAACAAAGCGTGATATTGTTGCTATTTACTAAGTTGCTGCATATTTTTTTTCTTGAAAAGGCTCATACCGTTAAAATCATTCATATACCTCATATGTAGATTCTTCTTTTAATCAACTGCTATCGTGGAATCTGAAGGTGTCACTATATATTAAGATCTAACAAACTAATGCAATTATCAATTGTGGGATGTGGATTTAAGCTCTTTATTTGATCTTGTGCAATTCCCACCTCATGAGCTTAGCTTTCAGGGTTGAGCTAGGTACAAGGTCCATTTTCTTAACATGGTATCAGAGCCAAGCTCATTCCAGTTCATGACTTGTCCGATATTGGGTCCCCATCTTATATATATTGCCACGCTCCAAATGTCCATTATTCCTGAGTGCGCCGGGGGAGGGGGGTTATTGAGTTCCCACACAATGGACTCTTTATATAGTCTTGGACAATCCTCATCTCATGAGCTAACTGTTTAGATTGAATTAGGCCTAATTAACTTTCATTTTCTTTAAACCCTTCAATACACCTTTAGTCATTAACTTTTTGTATATTAAATTGAAAACTTTTGTAGGTACATTTGCTTGTGAAAACATGGCATCACTTGTATTGGGAGTAACTTTGGTGACTTATTTCAATGGAGTAATGCATTATGATGTAGCTGATGCAGCAACTCAAGTTACCAATTACTCAGGCACTAGTTATATTCTTACTGTCCTTGTGGCCATCCTAGCAGATACTTATATTGGCAGATTTAAAGCTGTTCTTATTTCATGTTGGATTGAGTTCTTGGTATGTATATTCTCTTGATATTGTCTATCTAAATATAAGAAACAAATTTCAAAAGTTTCTTAATTATCATTATCTATGACTTATTTTAAATCACAAGTTTCAAAAGTATTTTTTTTTCCGTTATTACACTTTGTCCAATTCCTACGGTAATGATAATGAATATGAGCGCAATTAAAATTTGCCGGAAAATTATACCCCCTAGTGAAAATTCTGGCTTTGCCGCTGAATACTATAGACTGAATATAGTCAGTGGTGGAGCCACCTTATAGCAAGCAGAGGCGGACCCAGTATCTTAACCCAACAGGGGCACAATATTCACTCAACCAGTGCCCCTAAAGATTTTTAGCGTTTAGGTGCCAAGTAATTAAAATTAACCATTTTAAGGTATACACATATACATATACAAGATTTTTGCCGAAGTTTATGCTCAACATAACACATAAAATAAATATTTTCTATATTTATATATATTTTAGATTGATTCCCCTTGATTTTTTCGTATATTTACTTTTATATATTTTGACACCCGTTCATAAAATTTTGGCTCTGCCACTGAGTACAGTAATATTATATATTTTGGCAATTGAAAATTTTCCATCTATTTGATAGGGACTAGGACTGCTAGCATTTCAAGCTCACTACTCCAAATACAAACCGCCACAAAATTGCAACATTCTTGATCCAACATCAACATGTGAAAAAGTTGGTGGAAAAAATGCAGCCTTTCTTTTTATTGCTCTTTATTTAGTAGCCCTTGGATCAGCAGGAATCAAATCTGCATTGCCATCACATGGTGCAGATCAATTTGATGAGAATGACAAAAAAGAAGCATTGCAAATGTCAAGTTTCTTTAATTGGCTTTTGTTAGCAGTGTGCATTGGTGGTTCAATTAGTACAACATTTATTGTTTGGATTCAAGAAAATAAAGGATGGGATTGGGGATTTTTTGTTAGCACAATGGCTATGTTCTTGGGTGCAATAATCTTTTGTGTTGGATTACCATGGTATAGAATATTTGTCATTAAGGGAAGCAGTGCCATCACAGAAATTTTCCAGGTATATATTTGTGAAATTTGAACATTATCTTAGTACGGTTAATACTTATCTGCATCCGGTATTTACACTAAATCAAGGAATTTAGTCTTAGCAGTTAAAAATTAAAGTGAAAATACGCATCACTTAACTAAGTGTATAAGTGTATGCATACAAGACACATATCTTGTATTCATTAGCTTAGTGTAAATATTCAGTGCGGTTAAATTTTTATTGTACGTCTTAGTATTCTTATATTTCTCTTACTGTCACAAGGAAGGGGTAATTTCACGTACGGATGGTCATCCAAAAAAAAAAACAGTCTGGTGCACGAAGTATGCTGCGTTCACGCACGGTATGAAGAAGAGCCGCATCCTAAAGGGTGTGATGTAGGTAACATACCTTGATGCAAGTATCAATGGCTGATTTCACGGCTCGAACCTGTGACCAATAGGTCACACGGCCGGAGATAACTTTACCGTTGCTGCAAGGCTTCCCTTCCCATGGATGATCATTCAATTTTTAATTTGTTACACCAAAGTTACTAAATTATTTTTCATAGCGAAAAAGTCTCTCAACTTTACTTAAGTATTACATAAAGTCACTAAACTATTTTTTTGTAATAAAAAAGTCACTCGAAATGATTGTTCTAATTTCGTTTGCTTTTCTTGTGTGTTATTAACAGGTGTATGTTGCAGCCATACGAAACAGAAACCTTCAACTTCCTGAGGATTCTGCTGATCTCTATGAAATTGATGAGGATAATGAAGCTGCAATTCCAGCAGAATTTCTACCTCACACTGATACATACAAGTTAGTTATCTCTCTGTTTTTTATACTATCAGTTCATCTGAAAGATAATTATAAGTACCACCGATAATAAGCAGAATAAGTAACCTAGAGAATAAGACAGATAACATGTGACAACGGTAGAGTTGTCTCTGTGTGACCTATAGGTCAGGGGTTCGAGCCATGGAAGAAATCATCAATGCTTGCATTAGGTTAGGCTGTTATATCATATCCCTTGGTGCAGCCCTGCATAAACGCGGGATACCTTGTTCACTGTGCTGCCTTAACCTGTTACGACTAGGGGTGGCAAACGGGCAGGTCGGGTCGGATATGGGACGGGTTAAAAATGGGTAATGCAAAAACGAATAAATTATCCGGCCGACTCATATTTTATACAGATAAAAATGGGGTTAACTGACGAATAATATGGATATCTATATTACCATGGCTTATTGAATATGATCACTTTTGGGAGAATTCCTAGTCTCCCAAACTTGAGGACCCCCCCAATTTGAGGCGTTACAAATATAAAAGTTAAACCCATTAATTATCCATTGGTTGTCCATTTTCTAAATGGATAATATGGTTCTTATCTATATTCAACCCGTTTTTAAAAATTTCATTATCCAACCTATTTTTTATGAATAATATGGGCGGATAACTGTTTTCTTTTATCTATTTTACTACCACTAATTACAACATATCAAAATGCACTAATGGGAATGTCCTCATTTTATGGTAATTTTCTTTTTCTAGGTTCTTGGACAAAGCAGCTATTCAGACATCACAACAACAATACGAAAGACCAAATCATTGGAAACTTTGCAGAGTTACACAAGTAGAAAATGCAAAAATCCTACTAAGTATGATACCAGTCTTTTGTTGTACAATAATCATGACACTTTGCCTAGCCCAACTCCAAACATTTTCTATTCAACAAGGTTTCACAATGGACACAAGAATCACAAATAAATTCCACATACCACCTGCCTCATTACCAATTATCCCAATTATTTTCTTGATCATAATTATCCCCGTCTACGATCAAATCATCGTTCCAATTTTACGCAAATTTACAGGCATCCCAACAGGCATAACGTATTTACAACGAGTCGGGGTTGGTTTAGTCCTATCTGCTTTATCTATGACAGCAGCATCCATCTTAGAAGTTAAACGCAAACAAGTAGCACGTGACAACAACATGCTCGACGCCATCCCTATATTGCAACCATTGCCAATTAGTGTATTTTGGCTATCAATTCAATTTTTCATATTTGGGATAGCTGATATGTTTACTTATGTTGGGCTTCTTGAATTCTTTTATTCTCAAGCACCAAAAGAGTTGAAATCAGTTTCATCTTGTTTTCTTTGGACTTCAATGTCCATAGGGTATTTCTTGAGTTCTATAGTTGTGAAAGTAGTGAATAAGGCAACAAAAAAAATTACAAATAGTGGGGGTTGGTTAGTTGGAAATAATTTTAATAGGAATCATTTGAATTTGTTTTATTTGATGTTGGCTGTATTGAGTATGGTCAATTTTGGCATATATTTGATTGTGGCTAGCAGGTATAAGTATAGGGTACAGAAAAGTGCTAGTGATCAGGATGATAGTAGAGTATATGCTTTAATGGAAATGAAGAAGTCACAAGTGGAAAATTGATGATTTTGATGTAATATTTAAAAGTGAAATTTGGTTTTTCTTTACTTTTTCTTTGCTAAATTAGCAAAGAATTTAGTTTGCTTTTTCTTCTTTTTCTTTTTCTGTACTTAGAAATTCAGTTGTTTGGAATATTAGTTGCTTTGCTAGCTTCACAATATTAAAATCACTGTTTCCTGAACTGATTTTCTATTTTCCATTTTATTTACTCCATTCATATATGTTGTCCGGTTGCCACTAATATCTGGCAGAATTTTCGCTTAGGGGTCAAAAAAGAAAAAAGTTAAAAAAGTAAAGGAGATTGTGGCTAGTGGAAACTGAATCAATGAGCTCACAAAGGTTTTGAACCCCCTTGACCAGTGAGTTATGCTTTTGGGTTGCATTAAGGAGATTCAAAATATAATATATACAGAGGTACAAAACAGATTTTACCTTTCAACGAAGGGTGTTCCTAAGTCCGCCCCTGGTTGTTTACATTACACCCTTTAGGATGCGATCCTTTCTCGAATCCAACATTAACGCGAGATGCTTTGTGCATCGAACAGTCCGCATATCTTTTGTGAGTTACATTTCTCTCTAACAAATGGCTGGAGTCCAATAGACCTTTGTTCATGACGAAAATGAACGCGAACATGATGATAGATTAATTTTTTAATTAAGACAAGAATTATATATTAATTCATCTCATATAATTGCACGTCAAGTTTAACATTGATTGATAATCTTATATATATAAACCTTTTTTTAAAAATATTTTAAAAAAAAATGTTCGAATTCACAATTAAAACTAAAAAAATTTAACTCACAAAATCTCAAACTGTACCAAATAAACATATCACTCTGCCTACTATAGTAGATTAGTGGCGCCGCGCGCCCATTGACGCAGTCGTCTTCCGAGCCAATTTCTACCTCAACCAGCTATATTAGAGGGCGAATCTAGAGTGGCGACGTCGGGTTTATCTAAATTAAATATTTTTTATGTCGAGCGTAAATATGCGTATAATAATTCATCAAATTTACATATAGTGGTCTGAACTCATAACATTAAAAATATAATAAATTAAATATTAAAATATTAAAAATTAAACACATAAAATTTAAAGCCTAAATTTGAGTCTGAGCTACAGTATTTCTGCTTCTAATATTATCCAAACGTGTCCTCAAAAAAGAACATCAACTTACCCATGCAGCTCAACGTGGCCACAGTTCTCATCAATACTAGCCACCTCAAAACTCATGCATGTCTACGTGGCAATCCCTACACCCTCCACGTCCTCCAACTCCAGTACTCATCAAAATCACTTCATATAAATCAACCCCAAATCCATCAAAAAAAATAAAATCACTTTAATTTCAAGAACCTTTTTCATCTCAAATTCATATTGTTACTATGGCTGCAGCTACAGTCCCACCAGGAAAACCCATGTCAATGGAGCAACACATGCTTGATAAAGGAGCTCAAATGTTGCAGTCTTTGACTCCTATCAAGCAAATGAATCAACATGTTTGTACTTTTGCTATGTATAGTCATGACATGCATCGTCAAATCGAAACTCATCACTATGTCACTCGTTTGAATCAAGATTTCCTTCAGTGTGCCGTTTACGACTCCGATGAACCCACCGGCCGTCTTATCGGTATGGTTTCGTGAACACCTACCCTTTTCTGACTCCCTTCGTTTCAGTTCATGTAGCGTGGTTTGATTAAGCATGAAATTTAAGAAAAAAATAAATGATTTTTGAAATTTGTGGTCTAAAATGAATACCTACCCTTTTCTGACTCCATTCGTTTTGATTTGTAGCGTGGTTTGATTCAGCAAGAAATTTAAGAAAATGAACTAACTTTTGAAACTTGTGGGCTAAAATGTGGTTATGGATCATCTCGATCTGGCAATCTTATCATTAAGAGTAAAGTAGAAAGTAGAAAGTTTAAAGTTAAATTGTTTATAAATCACTTCTCTTAATCTTATCATTAAGAACAAAGTAGTATAGTTTAAAGTTAAATTATTTCTAACTAATGAAGTATTGATACTCTTTTCGGACAAATAAAAGAAAATTAAGTACGACACGTAAATTGGGAGAGGGTACGACATTTTTGGTATAAATGTTTGGAATATGAATTATTGCAGGAGTGGAGTATATAATATCTGATCGTATCTTTGAAACTTTGCCTCAAGAAGAACAAAAGCTTTGGCATTCTCATGCACATGAGGTTTGTACTTTAATATTTCACTTTATTTGTTTTGTGTGGAGAATTTCCTTCTTTTTTATTTTAATTCTATGAACTAACTGGGTTGAGCTTCACTGCGATTTTCTACTAAGTTCAAACTTTCCAAACAATTGAAAAACAGTGTGTAAATTAATATTTTGAAAAGTTTTTTTCTTTTAACGTGTTCTTTATTGTGTGTAAACTTTAAGAACTAACTAATACTCTTTTCGTTTCAATTTAGATGAGGTAGTTTGACTCGGCACAAAATTTACGATTTTTTTTTTTGAAACTTGTGGTCTTAAGTTTATGGGAAACTTATATAAGTTTCTCAATGAAGAGTTTAATATTGTATAATTTCTAATTGTATAAGTGTGTCATTCTTTTTGGACCAGGAAAATTCGATTATAGTAGATTAATCAATGACGATTTAATCTTTGTGAATAAATAAATTCAGATAAAATCAGGACTTTGGATAACTCCTAGAGTACCAGAAATGGTTGTAAGGCCTGAGCTAGAGAATCTTACCAAGACGTATGGCAAATTTTGGTGTACGTGGCAGACTGATAGAGGTATATTAAGCTGTTTTAATTTTTATTTTTTTTTAATTTTCTTAAGTCCACGAAAAAAAAGGGGGATATATACTTACTAATTTGACTTGTAATTTCAAATTAAGGTGACAAGTTACCAATTGGACCACCAGCACTGATGATGTCTCCACAGGCAGTGGATTTGGGCATTGTGAACATAGGGCTAGTCAAGAAAAGAGATGACAAGTACAACATATCGACTGATGCCATAAAAACTACTCGGGTCGATTTACCCGAGCCCGAACGCCTGAATCCGCAAGCGGATTATTGGATGCTGCACGGAAAGGGTTTCGCGATCGGTGTTGAGGATGTTGACATGAAGAAGAGAGCACCATTTCCATGAGTGTGTTTACAAGCTTTTAGATAGTTTGTATTCATGTTAATATTTTGCTGGTTCCTGTACAAATAAAGGCATATATAAGGGGATATGAATATGTTAGTACATATGTGAAGTTAATATTTGGATGAAATAATATATCTATGCTAGTTAAGCTATGTTGAAGGTGATTTTTAATGGTTCCCGAAAGCTTGACTCTTATACTGAAGTTAAGCAGGGGCGGAGACGCCATGCGCCGGAAAAGTTTACTAAATAATGGTTCTCGAAAGCTTGATTGTTATACTGAAGTTAAGCAGGGGCGGAGACGCCATGCGCCGGAAAAGTTTACTAAATAATGGGGCGCAAAGTTTACTAAATAATGGTTCTCGAAAGCTTGATTGTTATACTGAAGTTAAGCAGGGGCGGACACGCCATGCGCCGGAAAAGTTTACTAAATATGTATAACTTATTGATATGTACAAACAACTGATAAATAATTAAACAACTTATTTATAGTGAAGGATATTATGAAAACATTTTTTTTTAAAAAAAAAAGAAAATTATCGATAAGATTTCGTTTTTTCTTAAATAAGATTCGAATTATTGTTGTTTTAAATTGTATCGTAACGAAAAATTCTGCACGCCCCTGTGTATAAGGATGCTGTTATGATTGTATATTTTCTTTATATAATATTTTAATTAATTTCATAGGGGCAAGTGCATAGATATCTATTCTCATGACGTTATTTAGAATTAGTCGATATTTTGTTCTAAAATTAAAAAATTTATTTTGTCCTAAAAATTTTAATTTCAAGATAATTTGTGATATTCTTGTCTCGAAAATTTAACTGAAAAATTGAAACTAAAATTGAGGAAGTATTGGTTAATTTTTAAATAACAACTAATTAAAGTGGTTACCTAGTGTCTACAATTTCATAGGTCAGGCTGTGTTGATAAATGATAGGAAAATGTTCTCGGGCGAGAGTAAAACCATTCACACAAAATAGGTGACGAAAATAGAAGTATTTACACAAAATAGGTGACTTGAATGATAAAAGTACCAATAATTTGTTATGATAAAGTACCAATAATTTGTAATAAGAGTCAAGAGTCTGGGATTTAATGTTAAGAGTATGAGTCTTATAACTTAGAGTTTAAATATATAGAGTTTAAGTGGGCGTTTAGACATAAGAATTTTGAAATTTCAGAAAAAACTGGAAAAAAAAAAAGAGTTTAAGGTGAAAATGATATTTGAAAATTTAAAGTTACGTTTGAACATGATAATTTGGAGCTGTTTTTGATTTTTCGTGAGTAATTTAAAGTGAAAATTTTGGAAAATAGCTTTTTGGAGTTTTTTAAATTTTCAAAATTTTTTGAAATTCAACTTTAAAAATTTGAATTTTTTTATGACCAAAAACTAATTTCAAAAGAAAGAAATTTTTTCGAAAGTAAAAAAATTCTTATGGCAACGGGCCGTAACATTTTTTACTCAAAATGATATTAAATTTTAAATCTGCCTTTGAATGATATTACAGCGAGGAATAACATAGAAAATACTAAGCTGAAAGGAGCTTTTTCCCTCTTTGGAAGCAACTTTTTTTCTTCTTTTCAGAGCCATTAGTTCAGATTTTTGAGTGACAATGTTAGGTTTTGGGTTTTGGATCAAATTTGTCATCTTCTAACATACATTAAGGACTATATCTGATAAAAAAATATATCAAAGACCAAAATAGTCCAACCCCTACAAATTAAGGACCATTTTGGCTATTTTCTCAAAATTATCAAGTCGCAGATGATATATGCGACTTGCCAACAAAAGGAAACTGTGCCAGATCATGCCACCCACTTCTTCAGCATATACCCATTTCCACCTTCTCTAAAAGTCTCTCTGCAAATTCCACCATTTTCTCACCATTACCTCTAACAAATACTATTCAACTCAATAGAAAATTCCAATTTAAATAAAAAAAATTATAAAAATCAAAACTTTTAAAAATGGGTTCTTTACAATCTCTTCTCCATCTTCATCTTAATGCTTCATAACAATTTTCTCATCAGATTCCTTAGTTTTCTTGGCCTAATTGGTATTTCACTACTGTTCTATTCAGTTGTCATGGAAACAGATCCAATGCAGGAGGTACAACTCAATGAAGCAGCAGAGATCAAGAAGCTGGAAGTTTATTCTGTGTGGGCACTTCCATCGGAAGACGTGAAGGAGCGGCTGAAAAAGTTGATGACTGGTCTCCGATCAGAGTTTGGTGGGCCCCAATTTGAGCCTCACGTGACTGTTGTAGGAGCAATTACGTTGACGGAGGATGAGGCACGTGACAAGTTTAGAAAGGGATGTGAAGGATTAAAGACGTATAATGCTACTGTTGAGAAAGTTGGTACTGGAACTTTCTTTTATCAGTGCGTTTACCTTTTGCTTCATCCAACCAATGAGGTAAAAAAAAAATCTGAGAATTTTTATTTTGGTTGGAATTTTTCTAATGCTGTTTTATTCTTCGTGTATTTTCTGTGTAAGATTGCTACAGAATAAGTTAGTAGTAGTAAGTTGTGTTACTAATAGGTTGATTGGATATACAATCTCAATCTCGTTACATTTGACATACTTTCTTTTTTAGTCTGTATCAAGAAAATGATATATTTCTATGTTCAGAAACAATTAACTTTAAACTTTCCTATTTTATCATTATTTACATGATTTTATAGATGTTAGAGTGTGTTAAAGTCCCACATCCGTTAGGGAATGGACCGAAGGCTCCTTACATTGATTGGATAATCCTCCCCTCATGAGCTAGCTTTTGGGGTTCCTGTTTGGGCCCCTATGATATATTGTCCCCGCTCCCATTGGTGGTCTGAGCGTGCAAGGGGGTGTTAGAGCTCCATATTGGTTAGGGAATGGACTGGACTTGGGCAATCCCCTCCTCATGAGCTAACTTTTGGGGTTGAATGAATTAGCCCCAAATGCCATATCTTTACCATAGCCACATAAATGTTGTGTCGTGTTTTGGACTATGAGTTTCAAAATAGCTTCACATAAAATAGGACAGAGGGATATATAAGTCAAGTTAACATCCTGAACAGCGTACCCAGTCAAATTCAACTTGTTCAATGCAGTCTCAGGTTTCACCATGTTTGATGGGGTTAACTGCATATTCGACTTAGTGAAAACTTATCCAAGTTATTATTAGGCTGAAGAAAGCTTACATGAAGTCTATGGCTAATGGGAAATTCTTTAGTTAACCCTCTCGATGGTTTAGAGAGCACAACAAGTTAAATAGGAGTGGTATTTTGATGTGGATAAGAGGGTAATGGTTGTACTCTATATTCTTCACTGAGAAGACTTTTCATCTGTTGATCATACTTTTTAGGGAATATAAGTTGACATAAGAGGAGGATTGCGAAAAAGCAATTAATCCAATGATAAGATTAGAGGTATAGGGATAGTAAAAATCCAATAACATCTCTCTGCTAGTGATCAAGAATTTTTCGAGCTTTCAATCATGTAAGGTTAGAGGAGTCCCGCTGATCAATCCTTAACAGCAGTATTGTTGGTTGGACCAAATAGTCCTTTTGTGAGCTTCCCATCGAAACGTTACATTGTGAGCTTCCCATTGAAACGTGCTCAAAGCATGCCTCAGCTTGTGATCAAGAATTATTTGACCTTTCGATCGTGTATAAGATTAGAGGAGTCCTGTTACTATCTGTAAGTTCTAATTGATAATAGCAATATTGTTGGTTGGACCAAGTTGTCACTACCTAGGGGTGATATCTGTCCAAACAGATGTTAGTTATAGGGGCAGAGTGAGATATAAGCATCAACTAAAGGAGGTGTAATATATTGATTTGGTGTTCTCGGGTTGAAAATCCTTTTTTGGGGGGGTTGATAAGTTAAGAAAATCATGGTAAGAAAACAGAAGAAGTGAACTAAGGACATACATTTAGGATTCAAGAAGACATAGTCTTATAGACCTAGACATGCTAAAATCTTCTCCACGATGAGAAGTGGAGAGTTGCATTAGAAGAAAAGTGTGGTCATAAAAGTTTCTTATTAAGGGTAGAATTGAATGTTTAAGCTAAATTGTTTCCAAATTTAGAAATGGGTCATTCTTTTTGGAACAGACCAAAAAGGAAATAGGTTCACATAAACTGGAACGGATGGAACGGAGGGAGCACCAACTTAATAGAAAAAAATGAAAAAGGGCCAAAGTACAAGGAGGGATGAAATTTTTTGTAGTGTCATATGATTGTTACTTTCTTGTTTTTGCTTCTCATTTCTTCACTATTCTGTCCCTTGAATGGAGCGCATCCTATATTTTTGTCGTATTTCATCAGTAAGAATGCTCTATATTGACATAGTGCATGGTTTTGGCTTTAAATGTGAAAACTAGAAACAAAGAGAAGTATCGAATGCCTATTGGAACAAAAACTTAAGGATTTTCTCCTTTGAAGGGCTTAAGAATGCCAGAGTTAAATCCATTTAACCTTAAGGTTTAACAGGCAAAACTATCAGCATAAATTTCTATCTTGCAACTAGTTGAAAAGGAAAAAGTAAAATCATTTTTAAGGATTATGAAAGTTTTCTGATTCTTTACCATGCTTTATTTTAATGTATGATCGCTTTGTTTGAGTTGCTGAGGATAAATTGTGATATGAAATTCCTTCTACCAGGTGGTGGAGGCTAGTGCACGCTGCTGCAGCAACTTTGGTTACAACAGCTCAAGTCGTAAGATATACGTTCTTTCTTTGGATTTCTGGTCCTTCCGTTTTTCATAATTTAGTCACAAGAAGCTTTCGCCTCTTTTGTGTCTACAATTTCTCTCTGTTTCTGCATTATCTTCTTACATTATTAGAAGTGAGGATTCTTATCCGAAAATGTTGATAATACAAAATAATTGGAAGGGAGGATATCACTCCATCACCACTCATTCCAGTGGCAAATCAACATTTACCTTCGTGATAGCAATTAGCTCGATTGGAATATAGAACTCGACAATTGCCTAGATATAGCTTGTTTTGGAATTTTAAGCTCCCGATTGTTAAAAGCTAAACTGGAAAACTCATGTTGCCTGAAACTTGGGATATGGTATATGAGGTTCTTTGGTAAATCAGAAAGTTGAAATATATGGACCAGCTTTTCCTGGCTGAAAAAGAGAATCAACTCTAGTTTAATATGTGAATGTTCACC